AAAAAAAAAAAGAATTGTTAATAAGCAAAAGGTTTTAGCTTTCTAAAGAATATTTATACATATTTAGAGATACATGTAATTATTTTGGTGGAATTGAATTTTCTATTCTTTTCATTTAAAAAGGAAAAAAAAATGAAAATAAAACTATGTTTAACTGGTAGGTAAGTGTTGGAAGCGTAGGCATTTCATTTAATTGAAAATTGATGCTTTTACCTACTATTATCTGTACAAAATCATAAAGCAAATGTAAACTCAGGGATTTATATATATAATCCTTTCTAAAACTCAGGGATTTCTCAGTTCTTAACCCTCAATATTCAACCATTCAGCCTCAGGTCTAAGAAAAAAATCTACTGAAGAAAACAGTTTGTGGGTCTTCCCTTACATAGCTCTAAACTTGATTAAACCATATTGGGCCTCTGAGGGAGGAGGAGATTGTAGAACTTATTGTGCAAGAAGAAATGTTTTCCTTTGGCATCGACCGCCTTTTTCCAAGCGCACCACCCACCATTGACAATCTTCCTGAGGTCTTCGTTGCCCGTGTAGTGTGGGTCCAATATCAGAAACGCGCAATCTCCACTCTCGTCATTGTACTCAACTCCCAAAAGAGTGTATGCAAGAACACCACCACCTGTTAAAACCACAAACGAGTCAGATTCGCAACTCACCGTTCACATTTCTTTTTAGCGAATTTTTTCGATATGCAACAAAATATGATGAAATGGCCAACCGATCATGATAGGTGTTCCCTGAGTCTCGAAATGAAGAGAGAGCTCCCGACATTTCTCTGGAAGTTCGTCTCCGGACCTTACGTTAATCACTTTGCAACTAACCTGTCAAGATTGCAGTTAACCTGTCAGAGAGACACACACACATACACAGAGAAGCAGAGAGAGAGACTATGTCGTACTTATTTGCATTTCGTTCTTCAATTAAACCAAAAGTGTTCTGTGTACACATTCTAAAAAGAAAACGAATACTTACTCCAAGTAGCTTGTCCAAAACAAAACTTAACTCAATGGCCCCAATCCATTCGCGTGACCCGACAAATGAAGGTTCCTTATCACCAATTTCTACCAGTGCCTGCTGTATTTCTCTGAAATATACAACTTAATCTATGAGAACAAATATTATGGGAGAAATATAAAGGTTCAAATAAGGGAATGCATATGCAAGTCGGATTAAAACAGATTTTTTGAACTGGTTAATGGAAGTTTAGCCTTTGGAAGGAAAGTTTAGCAAAACAATCCATTGAAGCTCGGCGTACGATGACACAGTGTGTGAGGATGCTTTTGAGCCGAAGGAACCTAGAAAAAGTACCTGTGTGAAGGGACATCAATGGAAGTATAGTGTTGCTGCCTGAACCAAGAAATGATGGTCTGCAGAGACCGATAAGCACAACCCCAGCCCTGCCAAGTGGATGTTTGAGATGACTTGGTGAATTTTATTTTGAAAATACGAAAAATCATTTGAAGTTTAAGTGCCAGTAACATAAACAGTCAGTTATAACTTTTTAAGTAACTCAGCATTATACAGAACTTCACTTAAAAAGAAAAATACTTTCCTTGAAACAAAAGAATTATCTAGAGTGTATGATTAACCGCAGAACTGGCTCACAGCATTCAAAATATATAATTTGCAATATTGCAACGAAACTTGTGTCCATTGCAAATGGAGCTGGAAGAGTCATTGTTGACAATTCTCCTGGCATAGTGCTAATAATGGACTAGATCAAAATGGCTCAATTAAATTCTAGTGCTTCTTCTATTAGTGAAGTTTCTAGAAAAAAATATATCAAACGACGCAATGCACCTTGGGTCGCTACAGAAACAGTCTCCTTGTATAATTACAAGGGTAAAGTCTGCGTACAACTGACCCCCCAGACCCCAGTTGGGAATATACTGGGTATGTTGTTGTTGTATTGCAACGAAACTTGGATAGAAAGAAA